CCGGCGGGGCCGACGAGGCCGAGGGCGTCGAGTAAGCTCGCGAGCCGCACCCCGAGCCGCGCGTCGGCGACGACGTACTCGGCAAAAAGCGCGCGAGGGAGGATCGCCGTCGCGGTGGTGGTGCGACTTTTCGCCTCGACGTGGAGCTGGACGTCGTGCGGGGTGAAGGTGAGGGTCGCCCAGCTCTCCTTATCCAGTTGAAGCGTGCCGAGCGTCTTCAGGAGAAGGGTGGGGTTCGCCACCCGACAATACACCGACATCGAAACCGCGGCGTCGAAACTCGTGATCGGCGAATCGTAATGTGATGGAAAAATGGGAATTAATGATAAATAGGGTCGCTTTTCTTATAGTTCATAGTGGCTACTAGATATATGGGTCTACTTTAGATAACAAAGCATGAGCGTGAGGTTGATCGACATAGTAAGCCGCGCAAATGGATTCAGGGCCGCGGTGTTGGAATACATCACATGTATCGATGCGCAAGGCTAGCATATAATCAAGGAGACGCAAGGAGTGAGGAAAAAAAACATTTTTAACAAAGGCTAAATTAATATATCGATTTGTACGAATTATTTTTTATTATATTCGATACTTTAGACAGGGCATCATGTTTTTAAACGTTGGAAAAAGGGAAAACGTTTCCCAATTGTCAGTTTATAACGCCGAGACAACCCTCCAATAAGTTTTTAAAAGGTTTTTAGCGTAAAAAGAGTGTTTATAAAAAGAGCTCAACCAAGAATAAACCGCATGGAAAAATATGTATACCTCTCTCCCCACCGTCAAAAAGCCTTTCGAAAATGCCTCAAAGGGGCGATTTCCCATCGGATTCAGCAAGAGTACATGATACATTCGCGATATGTGGGAAAACCGTGAAGCTCTCAATGATTTCGGTCTTCGGTGGCTTCTGACCGTAACGAACAGAGGGACACCATCGGCTTGGATACTGCCACAAATGTGGTACGGTGTGCTTCGTTTTAGGGTCGTCAAACTGATCGACGTGTCGGGGGTCCAACTCCCAGACCTTGGGGACCTTCTTCTTCGCTAAAACGTACCCATGCAGCTCGCGCGTCTCCGCGTCGATGCGAAATCGCACGAAATGCTTGAAATCTTCAATCTGAAATGCTGAGTAGGTGCTGTCGTACATGTAATCAAACATGGTCACGGAAACGAGGAGAAAGCAACCAATAATAAACGACACGATGGGCGTCACAAAAATCCAATAGAAAGAAAGAATATGCATATAATACGAAGCAATCTCCCGGTGTGTGGCGCCTGCCTTGAACTTTCCAATCTCACTGGACTGTATTTTAAGCATGTAATGGGCAAGCGTCTCAAGCGGATCCAAGGCCCGTACCATTACACAGATCCACCGACAAATAAAGCTTTCAACAAACGCCCCGTGCATCCGCCGTAACACCTCTGCGATGAGGGAATCGTTGCCTAGAAGCCCACACGTGTACTGAAAAAGTGCCGTGGCGGTCATCTGCGCCTGCTCCTCAATCAGACTCCGCCACTGCGTCGCGGTTGACAACAACATTCCGTGGCTGCTCATGTAGACTAGCTGAACATGCAACATCGACAGCACGCTGCAGCTTGCGAAAACCACACAGCCCGTCCAGAAAAGTCCGTACAAAATACGCCAGTAGAGCGGCTCCCGTCTGTCCGACCCCGCGATGGAAAAGCAATAGAGGGAAAATAGCACAAAAAGTAAGGACGCTATCGCACGGCTGACTAGGAAAGAAATAAGCCGGATGGTGCCCATGATCCACGGCAAAATCACCTCTGAGGAATCCAAAATTTTGCAATGACAAATCACATTGGTCGGGACTGGTAGCAACGAAAAAATAATACCAAAGCAATGCACCCCTAGGATGAGATCGAACTTCCAATTGATCAGACGGAACCAAAAAAGCCTGCTGAGCAGAGAGACGTAGGTGTTGCTCGAGGGGAACGCACAGCCTCGAATATACCGAGTCCCTTGCGAGATGATTCTGTCTTTCCGCGCACCATGCAAGAAAGCGCCGCCACCACCGCTGACGATAAGCATCGGAGCCTCCGAAAGGGGGTCTTTGGGGATGTGGCGGGAGTAGTGGTGGATATCCCCGGCAAGGCGGAGGCGAAGGCGAGCCCCGAGGTGCTGCACGACGCGATTCACCTCCGGCTGCAGCGGCTCCGTCCGCTTATCCATCGCGTCGTACAACCAGCCCGGCTCATGGGTGGCGAGTATCACGCAGCTGCTATCGTCCATATACTTTTCAATCACGTTCAAGAAGTAGTTTCGCTGCGACATATCGATATCCTGCTCATTCCCGGTATCGGTGCAGAGCATGAACCAGTTGTACGGCAACTTCAGCACAAAAAAGCTGCTCCGCTGGGGCATCAACCAGCCACCGATCCACGTCTTTTCGGTGATGTACTTACGAAACGTCGAAAGCCCATCGAACCAGTCGTGGTTCCCGGGAATCGCGAAGAACATCGGAATACTTCTGAGAACCCCGGTGACGGATCGGTAGTCCGAACGTAGCGTGCTATCCGCGCACGCCAGGCGGGCAACCGTGGCCGCGTCGAGCATTCGTATGTGCACCCGATCCCTATCCTCGGGATCCTCGGCGACGATCTTGCGTTGCTGCTCAAAGAACGTCCGGCGAAGGATCCGGTTTCCACCGAGCGCATCCGAATATGGCTCGAACAATCGCGTTTGGTAGGTCTCATCGTTCGGGTTCGGGTACGCCAAGTCGCCCCCGACGACGACAAAGGAGCCCCTCGGCAGCACCACCACATCCTCCCGCCGCTGCATGCGTTTCCGATAGGAAAGCCGAAACGGCGTGGAACTCTTAGACAAGGCGCTGAGGCCGCGGTACGACCGCGAAAGCGCGCCCGTGCTGTCGTCCAAGGACCTTTTCTTCCCCGTCATCGGCGAGGCAGCGGGCGCCGCGCGCGGGAAGGCCCTCGGCGAGGAAGCCGAGTGGCTGCGCTGGAGGCCGATCCGGTGGAGCTGCGAGGAGGTCACCCGCCGGTCCCGACCACGGTGGAGGCCGCCCACGTCGAGGGTCCCCTCGCTGCAGGAGGTATCGCCCGCGAGGGAAACCGCCTCGGAAAGCTGTGCGGTAATCACCGGCTGCGCGAGCAGACGCGCCATCTCATAGGTCGAGTTGAAGCCGTCGCCGATGTCGGCGATCCAGTCAAACCACACATCCACCGCGCGGGATTCCTCGCCCGGTGTACTCGTTGAAAGGTCTGAGGGATCCACACGGGACTTGGGGGATTCGTCCTCTGATTTCAAGGAGGGCGAAAAGAGTGGGGAGAGGTGATCAATGCTGGAGGTGAAGGAAAGATCAAACACTTTCGGCCTCATCATTAGCTGAATTGGTCGCACATCAAAGCTGAGAAACTTTAATATTCCATTTGCAAAGACCTGCCAGGCAGTCGAAAAGACGAAGGTCGACCACCAAGGCACCATGCCTGGTCTGTTGATCGGATGCTTAACTTTCTGAATATATTTTACCTCCATTTCCAATGGTGCGAAAGACATACCTCGAGCGTCAAGAGGGACTTGATATCCATCTCCCCCAAGTTGCTTAAGATTACCCCGTTGGGGTTCCAGACAAGCCGAGCGCATTTGATGGCGACCAGCAAAAAAGGTTTTCTCCAGCTTCGAAACAACTTTCCGGAACATCATTACGGTCCCTTCTTCCTCACATAACGAAACAATCATCTTCCTTGTCATATTTGTGTTCATATCAATGGAATCCTCATGGTAAATGAGATCACCCTTCAGGAAATCCAGTGCTGAAGCACTAGTGGGACTGCTCTTTGAGAAAAAATTACTTCCCTTCGAAGATTCAAGACTCTCATTTCCACTCGTAGTATCCTTGGTTGAGTCGGAATCGAGTGTTCTACGACGCCTGAAACCACCAGTGCGTGAATTGAAGCTGCGCGGCGGCGGCTCCAATTCCCTCCAATCGACGTCTGGCTTCAACGGTCGATGCACATGATCCACTTTTGTCCGACCCTCCCACTGAGTTTTCAGGTCATAGTGTCCGGCCCATAAAATGCCCCGCTCTGGATCAAACCCACGGAGCTTTTTATATTGATAATCGAGAACAACAAAAAAAACACAAATGGCAGAGAGCCTGGCCATGGCCTCCCAGGGGCGGTCTAACACCTCAGGAACTGAAAAAAAGGGGCGCAGGAGTTGGAGCAGCCTCCACTGAACACACGGTGCCTCGGTGTCGTAAAGGTGACTGAAATACTCGTAGTGTAACGCACCAAACACTGATAAAAGGAGTGAATTTAAAACCAATGTGGACAGGTTCGGAAGATAGGTAATGCCAAGATGCCATCGCCTCTTCATCTTATGAATAAACATGAAAACGTGCGTTAAGATGAAGAAAAGAGGAAATAAAAGCAACGAAGATGTGAGGAACGCGTCGTCGTCGTCGGCCCCATACTCCGCATCTCGGACCACACCCTCTCCTTTAGAGAATCTCTTACTTATCTGCTGTTGCTTTTGCTGAATGACCTGGGGACCAATATGAAAGAATGTGATTATGACTAGCGTCCATGCCTGTAAAATTCTGGTGAAACGTGCGTAAAAGTCATTTGAAGCGTTTTGACGCGCGCGGAATGGGCTGTGAAATAGGTACATTCCTCCCATTAGAAATAAATAAGATGCCATCCACCATGTATCCGGTCTGATATGGTGTAAAATGCGGACGACTTTCTCGACTAAAAGCACAGTCTTTTCATATGCGACGAGCATGAACGGCAGAAAGACTGATCCATATCTGTAGTTCCCTTGAGACATATTTTATAGACCTTAATCGCCTTACGTTGTCATTCAAGTGCTAATAAACAAATGAATAAATGTATGTTTTGCTTTTAAAATAAACAGTATTTTTAAAAAAGCCGAATAGGAAAGAAAATACTTGTAGAAAGTCGCACGATCCTCTTTTTTTGTTGCGGTAACAAACAGTTAATAACTAAGTTAATCGTGACATAAGACCAACAAGAAATAGTAACCAAATAGATCGATACACAAATCATGTTCACTCGAAATTCAGAAACATATTACAAAAAGACATAAAGATAAATAAAGTATTTCTTCCTTACAAAGATTCTTCCGATTTTTTGATTTGTCTTGCTATCTGAAAATGTGTAAATAAGGCTTTAGCGGACAAAGAAAAGGGAGTTATTGCTCGCCAAAAATGAAAAACACGTATATATAAGAAAATTAATTGAATCAATAGGCATGATCAAATAGTAGGTAATAAAATTAGTAGCCATAAAACATCAATGAGTCCTACGGTTTGGTTGTCAATGGACAATAAAGCAATAATGTATACTCCCACAATATTAGTATTCTGTATCTAATTTGTGTAGCCGCAGACAACAGGCCCTAGTATCTTGGCATCCTGCTCTCACTGCCACAATCTGCGATATAGAAAAAAATTTGCGCTTTAAGCACCACTCCACAACTGTCTTCACCAGGAACGAGAAATATTCCCGTCCTGGTAGTGGGACTCCACAAATGTGGTACGGTGTGCTTCGTTTTAGGGTCGTCAAACTGATCGACGTGTCGGGGGTCCAACTCCCAGACCTTGGGGACCTTCTTCTTCGCTAAAACGTACCCATGCAGCTCGCGCGTCTCCGCGTCGATGCGAAATCGCACGAAATGCTTGAAATCTTCAATCTGAAATGCTGAGTAGGTGCTGTCGTACATGTAATCAAACATGGTCACGGAAACGAGGAGAAAGCAACCAATAATAAGCAAGCTTGGTTTCACAGAAGAAAGACAGCAGGAGGGGAAAAGGAAGGTAGCAAAACGCTACGTCAAATGTGTCTTGTTATCCTTAACAAAAAATGATATTCACTTTGGAAAAATAGACTCGCGCTCCTAGCATATTTAGGTACCTAGGAAAAAGAGCTCACCCCTATAAGAAAGTTGTTAGTGTTGTTTACTGAACAGGAAAAAGAGGGGGCACCCCATCCACAAGTCGAGATCCGTGGTTCGGAAATGCATATTATGTGAATCAAACGTACTTTCTTGTGGAATTTCACATATGAATACACCTGGAATGACTATTGCATTACTAGCTATGGAAGCAATGAGGAATTGAAAGTACATGAGCAAGTCGTATACCCAAACGCAATCAATGCCACTCGCATAGCATTCTGATGTAATCCATACTGAAAGGATCACCCTCCCCTGATCTCTTCTAGTTGTGGCAATACACAAAAGAACTCCAGGGTTGTAAGATAATTCGTGCCTTTGGTAAAGATCTTAAGCGCAAGACATATTAGCGGTCTATAACGTGAAGCAATGAAGTCTTATAGACTGTCTGAGAGGGAAAAAGAGTAGCCTAAATACACAGGTAGAGCTGAAAAATCAAGGAGATGAAGATGATCAAAAAGCCCATCACAATAGTAAGGCCAAATATTCATTTAGTGAGACGGAAAACAAAAAGCCCGTTGAGCGATAAGACCTTGGTGGTGCTAGAGGGACTAAATGTATAGCCTCGGCTAAGTCGAGTGTTTTGCGAGATGCATTTGTTTTCATCTGCACCGTGAAGTAAATATCTGCCTTTGAGATGGTTCTTGGAACAAGTCCTAGTTTTGCTGTTGAGGGTTTCACAAGCAATATGTCATTACATATGTTGGTATATCAAAACGGATGTTAGGAAAAATAGTGAAATAGTGAATATGTTGACTTTAAGGTTGTTAAAACAGATTATAAGCGATTGGCCTAAGGGATAAATGAAGAAAAGACTCTTAAGAGCATGAATTTAAAAAGAGGCATAAATTAGAGCAATAAAAAGATATCATAAACATGAGTCATATCTTCCTTTCACAGAAAACCAACCTCGGCAGAAGAAAGTAGTCCTTTGGCACATAACACTACTTTAGAACTATATCTATATATAGATATATTTATTCATTTATTTATATATATTCCTCTTTAAATTGACATAATTCGCATTACACAACTTTTATTCCACAATTTTTATCAATCAATTCAATTCCAGCATAATAATAAAAACAAATAACTCATAAAGAAAAAGGTGATAAAATATAGAATCTATAACATAAAAAAATGATTTGTTAAATAAAATATGACTTTACATTTTAATTCAGTAGCGTTAAGATTCCATTAGATATACACTCACACGTTACTCTTCATTTCGTAAGATTCGACTATGATTGTGAAAATATATATTGCACATTAAGATTTCATAACATATTTCGAAAAAATACCTTTTTACCATGTGCATGTAGTAAGCATGATGTCACAGCCTGGAAAAATTAAATCAAATTTTTTTTCAAGAACTATTTTAAAAAAAAGAGTAAAGCGCACAAATATTGGAATTGATCCATTGTAAAAATCTCAAAAAAAAAGCGAGCAAACAACGGAGAATGTACACGCGTAAATATATTTTCCTTCCGGTGAGCTCTTTCAATACGTGAAGGAAATAGTCAAGAAGCATGTCACCGAAACGTAATGTATTACGTCGCTTGTGATAAAATTTATATACATTTTTATTGGGCTTGCCTTTTAGAGCTGTAAAAAGACGCAAAGGTGCTTCACTTTAGATTCATATCATTAGATATTCCTCGCCATATTGTTATTGATCCATATCATTTATAAACATGCTTCCGGCCATATTTATTTGCGATTGGGTTGGAATACGTGCTGGATTCTCTAGGCCGGTAGTCAGCAGCTTCTCCATCTTTTGTTCTTTCCTCCTCCTTCGAACACACCTGATTACAATAATGACCAAAATGATCAAAACGAAGACAGCAATAGTTATGCCAAGCGTGATGCAAAGCTCTACATACCATACGGGGGGTTCAATGCAGCGTTGATAAATCCAGCGAATCTGGGCGTCAAACTTGATAGGTTTACCACAATGCGTGTATGTTTTGCCATCTGCAGGCGGCACGATAGGATCTCCATCTGGATATGTGGGAAAGAATACATGATCGGATTTGTCGTACTCATAGTACTCGCAAATCCACTCACGGAACAGATGGGATATCTCAATGTTACCCCAGGAACCATTAGCTCCCATACACGTTTGCCGCTTCCCCCAGTAGCTTACATTCTCCCACCAGACCGGCGAGACAGAACGTCTGAAGTTGTTATATACACCATCTACCTCTTTTGTCTTGTCAACACCCTTGTAAATAACCCCTCTAAAGAATGTCAATTCGTTATGCAAATATAAGCCATGGTTGAACTGCCAAGTACAGTTTGAATCCAAACAGGCCGCCTGGCGTGCGCTACCTCCAATGGGAACTAATCCCACAAAGCCGGCTGTCTTGTAGCACTCGTGAGCTAAAGCATGGAAACTTTCTGTTTTCGGCATCATGGTATGTGAGGCAGGGTCCCTTACGTGACATAATCCCGCCGAATCAAAATCCTTAGCACCTACATCTTCCGCATATAGGCTTACGTATTTCACAGAGTACGCGTGCGCCAGGCTTGGAGCGGAAGAACAAAAAAAAATCGCAAGGATTAGCCACCAGATTAACCTTGATAGGCCCATTGGGAGAACCTGTGTGGCCATCGAAATCATTCAATCCCTTTGCGCTAGTTTTTGGTGCACTGTGTAGAGGTATGAAGGGTTTCCTTGTGATATAAAATTACTTGTGCAATTATGATTATCAACTTGCTTTGGCAATTTAAATTATACCCTTGTAAAAATAAGTTCGTTTGGACAAATCATTTAAGACCATTTGTACAACAACGAAGGATGTGATAAAAGACGTGAAAAACAAACAGCTAATTATAGACCTCATATTTGGTTTTTTGGGGCACCTCGAATGAGGACGTAAACATCATCGAAACTTTCCAAAGTGCATGTATCACCTACAGTAATGAATTCAGGATTAGGGATGTAAAAACAAATTTAAGGATTATGTAAATAAATGAAAAAAATGTCACCAAGCTTTAATACTAAGCCTAAGCCTCGATACTGAAAGCGTGGAATTAGAAATTAAAACTCAACAGCAAATTTGGATTACTTTTTTTCGAGATTAAACAGCATTCATACATAGAAAATGAAAAAAACATACTATCACCGATCAAAATACCACAAAATGGTCGGTCCATAAAAAAAAAACCATTTTCGCTCATAAGAAATAAGGTCTTTCTCAAGAGTCTTCTTCTTGGACAGAGGGATGAGTACGGTCGGGTTCCGCACTCGCCGGACGACCTTTATGATCAAGCAAAATCATCTGTTTCTTCGCTAGCAACTCGGCATCACGCCTGTTCAGACGTTCACGGGGCGGCAAAACAAGCAATGTGCCCACTGCGCACACGGATATAATGAGGATAACGACATTCACCGCCGCCCGTTTCGTCGGGTTGTCGTCCTCAAGCATAAAAGAGGAGACCGACACCAATATAAACGACGCCAAATTCGCGCCCGCCATGAGCAGCGAGCCAGGTACGGACTCCTGCAGCGGAAATGCGATCTCCATCGCGAACTCAAAGCAGACGGGTATCGTCGTGTTCTGAAAGATCCCAGAAATAATAACAAACGTGGTCGATAACACGTCGATAAGGGTCGATGGGCTGGGTGCCTTAATCAGAAGTATCAAAAGACCTAAGCAGGAGAAAAGAGAGCCCGTCAGGCAAATGATAATCGGAAATTTATAGCGTCGCTTACGATCCACCCAGATGCAGACGATGTACGATACGATGGTGCCCGCCACGACGTTCATCCCGGCCGCGATCCCCGCCAGCTCGGCCGAGACCCCGAACGGATAGAGAACCTGCGATAATACTGACGCGTAGGTCCACACGCTGCCCATACTAATACTGAAGGCACCAAAAAGGAAAAGGAAATCGCTCTTCCGGCAGAGCTTGCCAACGGTGCGGCTCACCTTGACAAGCTCCCGCGCGAAATCACCACGCCAGACCGCGAACGACCAGCCTCCTTTCTGCCCCCGCTGTGGCAGCTGCCCTCGCGCGAGGGGGGCGTCGCGATCCGACGGGCCGCTCGCCTCGGGGAGGTCGAAGGCGTCCATGGAGATCCGCTCCGAAAGCCGCACTTCGCCCACCTCGCCTTCCCCCTCCCGCATCCCGTGAGGCTCCTCGTTGAACCACCCGAGTTGAGAGCCCGAGCGATCCCCGGCCGCGTCCGCAGCAACCAACTCTGGCGCGGCAGGGAGGGTATCGGCGTTCATCATAGCCTTTCTCAGGCCCCCATAGCGTGGGGGTTTGAGGAAAAAGAACACCAACACCAAAATGAAGATGCAAACCCCCATCTCCAAACCGAAAAGAACGTAGAATTCTTTTGAAGTCCCCGTCTGCACGACAAAGGGCGGGAAAAACAGGGCGACGGCGTTCCCGAGGTTGTTCGCGGTGCACGCAATCGTGGTTGCGAGGGCGCGCTTTGGGGGAGGAAAATACTGTGAAGCAATCAACGGCGGTGTCGAGAGCACAAAGAGCTGCGCTACGGAGTTGAATGTTTGGGAAATAATCAGTGGGGTGAAGCCTGGACGTTGCATACCGTAGACAACTTTCAGGATCGAGCCCAAAGCATTGAGAAAACAACCAAGAATAAGTCCTTGCCGTACGCCCCACTTCTCAAAGGTTGTACTGCTAAAGTACGCCCCAACGACAAAAACAATCATATACACAGTGGATAGCATGTTGAGCTCGCTGGTGGTAAGTCCAAAGAACTCCTTAGCAGCGATAGCAATAGGTGCATAGGTGATCCATTGTATGGCATTAGAGGCGCTGAAGAGGCAAAAAAGAGTGAGAACGACCCAACGTGATGGGTCACCTTTCTCAAAAAGATCACTTACCATCCCGCTAAGTGAATCCACAAAGCACAAATACTTAGGAAGAGGGTAGAACGAAGAAGTAAAATTAGATAATAGCCCTTATCTGTTGAGAATTAATTATAAAATTACCTAGCAAGCTAAGCAGTTGCATATAAATGGCAACATAGGGAATAAAAAGAATGAGTGACGTAAGGATTCATTGCGTCTAATAAAGATTTACATTGCATGCGCGGCATTTTTCCCAAATGCCCGTGTCCTCTTATTTTTCATTAGAATTCTGTAGTCGTAAAAATAAGAAAGTCTGAACGACCTGAATAACGCTGCGCAAAGGCGGATCCCGATGCCGTCGGCTCGAGAAAAGCGACATGCTCACGTGCAATTACATTTCCGTATGATATGTGCCTTCTCGCCACCTCAATCATCTCAAATGCGACGCCGCGACCACGAAAGGGCAACGCAACCCACATGAGGTGGATTCCACAGAACAACGCACCACCAACAGACTCCCCCCCTATAAAGTACGCACCATTGTTAGAGGTACCACAAGGCATTCCGTGAGTGAATGAGCCGGGATGGCTTTGTTGCACGTGGTACGCTCGATCCTGCTCCGTTGCAATGCAAAGTCCAATCACCGCGCCACACTCCCGCTTTTTCCCCCTCAATGGTTTACGATCACCTGAATTTGAAATAGCCACAGAATTTTCTGGATCCCAACTTTGCTCAATGTGCCCTGCATCTTGTAAAGCGAATGCAACCACAAGTGAAGCATAGGGTGGTATGGTGTCGACGGCACCGATTTCCCCACGTGCTTGTGCGACTGCCGCTGCTAAGAACTTGTAACGGATGGTAGAGTGGCGCGACGTCTTAAGGGATGTTGACGGCTGAACTCCTTGTTGAGCTGCCATACGGAAAGAAATATCCCCAAAGCAATGCGGAATAACAACCAGGTACCCAAGTGGAAAGGCTTCCTTCCAAGAGCATGGCAAGTCTCGAAAAAAGTGCTCGCGCATCGCACCTGCGGAGGGGCGACTTAGCTGCGGCATCATGATGACTTCCCTGCCGATTGGTTGCTTATATGTATCAACAAAGCAGGTGGTGTATTCGTCCGCTTCATGTATAATTTTGCGCCGCTTTGTGGTACAAAAAGAGCCTACCGCAAGACCATCGCGACAGCTTCTTGATTTATGACAGAAATTTTCAGAGTCTGGCGCCGCCTCACGCTTTGGCATGGCAAAGCGAACCCTTCCTTAAGTATGACGTAGAATATACTTGGTTTCCTACTCCTATTATTTACCACATTGAAGTGGCGCACCTACGATGCTGCATAGGGAAAATAAAAAACGCAATTAGAAACATATCTATTCCTTGAGCTTAAAGCAGCTAACTATTCGTAAAGTCTTTATCAGATGCGCATTGTTATTATTTTGCTTAGCAGTGACATATGCGTCTCATAATGAAACCCATTGCGAAAAAAAAAAACGGAAATGTTCCATGGAGGAACTAGATGAAAATAAAAAGAGCAGTAAAACGAGCCAAAATATTAATCAAATGAGGAAAATATGAAGGAAACCTTCTTTGACGCTTACAAGGAGATTTTTTCTCAGGTATGAGATCTCCATAGAGACATAAAAAATGTCACCTTCAATGATATCTGAAGAATGAAACACAATAAAAAATAAGTGCTTTCCTTTTATAAAAGTCTTAAACTTCAACTTCACATGTGCGTCAGACAAACATCGAGAAAGGAAGGAAATAGAGTATAGATAAACGAAAAAAATTGAAAAGATGCCTAGTGCAAAAAGTCTCAGAGTCGCCTCGAAGAGATTCCTGAGATAGGGGTAGTTGGATATTTGAGGCGCTTGATTCAATTTGTGAGAACCTCTGCATGAAGAAGTTCCTAGAGAAAAAGGGAGTAAGAAGTTCGAGCAGGTAACCAGACTTTAATATCTTCACATAGGCTGAAAACTAAGTTGTATTCGCGGAGGGAGGGGAGGAGGAGGGAACCTGCTATGCGAGAATTCGAGAACCAGCGGCACTGTCAAATAATAAAGCGTTCTTGCTTCCTTTGTTCACTCAGTATTGCTGTGTGCATATTTGTGTTGAGTGGAAGGTGCTCGTGAATGGAGAGAGTATATGAACATCATAACAATAGAAACCTCTCGTGCTCTAATACCTAAGGAGGACAGCATCCCTCAATAAAGTAGAATGGCCACGAAGGAAGCATGTGCTTGGTCTTAAAGGCTGTAACCTTTAAAAAATAAATTCTGTGTTTGATTGGACTGATTGTGGCTGCTCTTTGCCCTTTTCTACCTTAGAATACTGGGTTTGGTAACAAAGAATAGTCATTCCCTAGGCTCTTCTACTTCAACCTTGATGATAGTTTGCCATTCCCTGCCCTCCTTGTCAAAGGTTCATCGTGCAGATCCCCAGGTACGTGAGCGAGGCGAAAGGCTCTCCACTCCATATCTGCAACACTTATCAGCAAGAACGCAGTAGTAGGCGGTGCCGCTGAGATCTGACATTTTCCTTCAGCATTGCCCCCTTCTGTCGTAACTTTTAAATACAACATTTATACCTTAAACTCCGTCTCAGTCACGCTTGATTGATTAGAATCGCTCAAAACAGTAGGTCCTTTATCAGCATCAGCGCAGGGTACTTTTCTTTGACGCTTTCGCGTCTTATTAATTTCCTTATCTTTCCTTCCATCAGCAGCAGAGGTACCCTCAAAACTGTTCGATACTTTTTTACCGCGTGGCCTTCGACTCCGCTTAGGCTTCGCCACATTTATATCGTGATTAGTGGAGATCGCAAAAGTCGAGGTAAATGTATCATCGTCCTGAAGACCGGCCACTACGCATGAATCGACGTTAGAACCACGCTCCAAGCTCGTCGTCACTTGATCTTTAGGATCGTCATGTACATTTTTATCCATCGCATGAATAGATGAGTTATGGTTGGAAATCATGTCAGCAAGCACGTTCACAGAAGGGTGGGGGGTGATATATTTGTTGTGAAACATTATTCCATTTCTGAATGGTGCAAAGAGTGGAAGAGTCCAAGGCAGGACGCAACTTTTGGAAAAAAAACGTGCACCACAAGACCGCATTGAGAAGTATCTGAGGTTAAAATGAATAAACTAGGAGGAAAACACTTTCAAAAGATGAGAAAAGATATGAGCAGCGCAAAGAGGTTGATAATGAGTAGAAAAAAAGAAAGTAGACCCCTCAAGAGGACAAATGGGTTTACTCTTTTTTTGAGTTGCTTTCAAAAAGAAGAATGGGAAATCTACTGGTAAATAAATGAATGGAAGAATATGAATTATTCTCTTGTCTGTTTAACATGCTTATACTTCCACAAGACATTAGCGAATTCTTTTCTTTAAAAAGATCCGCCTCATCCCTTGGGTAGAACATTTCGTTTTATCCACGCCTATTTCTTACAAAGAGCCGAGAAATGGCGATGTATTCGCCAAAAGCAGTCCCCTTATGGGGTAACTCGGAGACTCTCGCGTCTGCTTTAGTGCCCGCAGCTGTGGGAGATACAACACCTTTAACTCTTTCACCAAATGAGAGAGCCGCTCGTCGTGCTGGGGATGGCTTCGAGGCGGTTCCGAGGGTTCCTCGTGGCAAATCGGGCATAACCGCTCGCCACGCGAAACCCCCTCCACCGTTGGTGGGGAGGGCAAGCAAGGCGGGCATAACATCCCCCCACAACAAGGCATCGTAAGGGTAAGTGGCGGGATGTGCGCGCAACGCGAGCAGAGGAAACCCATCCACCCTTCCCCGACGCGAATCACGCCGTCGTCGAGGAGCTCGTTGAGGTCTTTGATATCCTGCGGCGTGGTGATGGTGGGAACCGCGTTAAGAAAAGGCTCTACGCGCTGCAGGTGGGGTCCAATAGTCGGGGTGGAGCGGTTGGAACCAATGGAAAAGCGATCCTCCACGCGATCCTCCTTCGACTCCTCCATACTCAAAAAGAGACGAGACGTGCGGCTAAACGGGCTAGGCGGAGGAGGAATCCCGCTAGAGGAGCCTTCCGGGGGGGCGGTGGGGGGGTACGCCGGAGCGGCAACGCTCTCGGCTCGACTCCCCTCCCCTACGCTGAGGACTGTCGCCGCCACGGATCGTCGTTCACGTTTGTGGTGGAGAAAAAGATGATGCTGCTGCTCGGAAACCGCCAGGTCCTCCAAATTATCCCAAACCGTAAAGACAACCAGCTGGTCTCTCGACATGAGCTCATTGTGAACGTCGAAGAGGTACTCGTCGAGGTTCGCCGAGGGAATAAGTTGAAAGACGCCGTCCAAGGCACTTTCAACACATGGCGCTATAACGCAGTGAAATTTATCTAAACTCGTCGCTAAACCCACCGCGGTGGCGTATCTTCGGTCCTGGAGTTCTGAGAAACACAATTGCTTAAGTAGCCTCCCTGAAATTTTTAACACCATGTCAGCGCCACTCGAGCTAGCATCTGTGCGCAACCGCTTTTTGCTTTTATGATTCCGACGAAGTACTTGCTCTTTCCGCTGCCGTGTCTCCCTAGATGCCGTGAAAATCAAGGAGCTTGAGGAAAGTTTTATAGGCGGTGCTACGTGCTGAGCGGAGGTGATGACCATAAACTCCATCGCATGTATGTATATATCTATATTCTATCAAGGATGTCAATAATTCTTAAATGCTACCAATGAAAATTGCTGTCTACATAGAAAAGAAAACGGAGGCCACCAAACGAAAACCCAAGCACCAATACTAGAAACAGACACGTTCACATCCATAAAAAAAAGGACTACATGCATCTAAATAATGCAATCTTGGGTTCAAAATCCGATAGTATGCACCAAATAATGAGACACTTTGGAGGGAGGTGGAAAAAACATTCCCCTGTCTTTTCTTCAGCAATTACTTACTTGATATCATATATTATATTCTTCTTTATTTATATGCAGATCTTGAATAAGCCCACCAGATCCCCCTCCACGTGAAGGAGCTATGGATATCGATCGAGGCAATGACGAAATCGCGCGGATGTCTGACAATTCTACATACGGGGAGACGTATCCGGTGCAATCTGTCATAGATTGAAACCACCCTGATGTCTGGATTCATCAATCTGCCGCTGTCCTCAAAGGAATTCCGAAATCACCAGAACAGAGTCTTGACGGTATTGGTATGATGCGTATTGTCTTGTGCAGCTTCAACCATAGGGAATGCAAAGGTGCAATTCGCCACCTTATGCCAAAGATATCAGGAAAAACGACATGAAACACCTCTGGGAGTGTTCGTTTAGGATCTCCTAAACGAAAAGGTGCGACCACCGCGGACGGTTCGACCGCTATCCCACAATACCAGCGCGTGCTCGTATAGACTCATCAAACCTACACTGTGAGTTCCCCCTTCGCAAAAATCTCGATTGCTGTGAGCACTGCGCTGGTGCTGGTATAGTAAATCGGTGTCGGATGCATGAAAATATTCTTTGTTCTCCTCGCCGGGAATATTTGAGAAAAACGCATATCTTACTCATGTAGTGTCCACGCTGTTTCCCAATGCGTGGATGTTCGGCAGCCATGCCCTTGTTGATAAATGAGTTACCAGAATTGTATGCTCGTTAAAAACAGTCTATCGCTTCAATGGCAACACACATACCGTGTACTGCTTATCTACTGGATAGGTCCCCTTCAAAGTGAGCACACTGAGTTCGAAGTGAAAGAGTCGTAATTACCTTTATGCCACAGGTGATGCACGCAAGACAAAAAGGATGCGGATACTTTTCCCGCTTTGTGAAGTTTAAAAGGTTGCCATCTCTCATAAAAGCGAGCTTTTCACCCGATGGCGTTACGAGACATTTATTTCAATGTAAGATCTTTTAATAAAGTGTTTTTTCAGAAGCTGGTGTAATGGCTCCTTGGCCAGAGCTGCTTCTAAATCTATAACACTTCGGCTAATGGGAGCTATTTCTTCAGATTACTACGTACTGATGTAGCTCGTCAATGGTAAAATTCTTAGGAGACTTCTTCAGGATCAAAAATACCATGTTTTATTTACTCTTCCCTAGGTATGCACATAGCTATCCTTGCAATACATGATGCTCATCTATCAACATTAGGAAGCATAAAACCAGTTAGAAGAACCATTAATCGGAAAAAATAGGAATGCAATCTCTAAGAAAAAAGATCCGTAAACATTAATAAATTTACAAACTAAATTGTATCAGAGTCGAAGAAATAATGATTTATTCTTTCTTAGACGCATGGATTAAGAAAATATTAATTTAAGAATACAATATACCTAATAACCCTGTTAGAGTTGTCTTTTAAAAAATGACGATTTTTAGGCATAAGCTAACAAAGGGTGCATGAACTTCTACCAAGCGCCTAATTCCTTGGATTGCTTTAATAAAGTAGATACGGCAGCCTCACCAGACTCAATCAGACCAGCTTTTCGAAGTTGATGCACCTTTTCCCGCCGCACAATTGGTGCGTGTGTTTCTTTTATCTCTGGTATATCCAAGACAACATCCTTCTCATCCAACTCTTCAGTTATTTTTTTAACATTCGATTCGTTTTGCTTTTGAGCTCCATCTTTCCGTTGTTTATTCTTAGGGGGAACAGTAGTTTCAGCAACCAGACTTTTTGCATCTATTTCCTTTGCAGAGGTTACACCATCCTCACCCCCGAGAACTTCTTTAACTGGCCGAGGGCGTTTCAAAATGAGCTCCTCGCTTGAGAGGAGAGGCTGCCCATCGATTAATTGAATGTGCTTCAGCATTCCTCGAAGACTTCTCTGGAGAGAACGAGGTACTGTCTTTGCTATATCGTGTTCCTCCCTGCTCTGGCCCTCCGGCATCGTTGCTGACTCTTGTTCAACACTTTCGCCACGCTCCTCACGATCTCGCTGAGCATAAATGTCCATTAAAGGATTTCCCTTGAGACTGATTTGACGTAGGAAAAGACAGCGACGCAATGTGGCTATTGACTCTAGTCGGTTGTAGCTTATATCCAGAATCTTAACTGAGCGCAAAATAACACCGTCGGGCTGCATTGAGGTTAAGGCGTTACGCACAAGGCGGAGCTCAGTAACCATGGGTAAAAACCATCGTGAAGGTAAGGAAGATATGTTGCACTCACTCAATGATAACTTCGCAAGGTGTGTAAGTTCCTCAAAAACTGAAAGCGGATGAGTACTGATGCGAGCAACGTTCACACATGGCTCCTCTTCCCCTTCCTTTTGAACACTATTTACACCCTGATCATCTGCTTTATGCTCATGAGGCAGTGGATCTGTTTTATGAGGACTTTTATTTTTATCATTCGCTTCTTTACTATCATGAGAATACAAACTACATAACTGTGGGTTTCGGCTCAGCACCACTGTTTCAAGCGCTTTCAAAGAAGCTAAAATTTTGTAGTTCTCAACTGCTGCAGTGACTATAGGAACATCATTACCGCTATCAAGGTGAGGCTTCGGGTCTTTGCCCCCTTCGGAAACGGATGGTGATTGAAGTTGAAGTTCGTTATCGTTGGCAATAAGGGTACGCAGCGTCGCAGAGCTATCCTCAAGTCCAGACAAGAATTGTAGACCACAGTGAGCTACAGACAACACTACAAGATTTTTGCAACCTAGGCCGCTCAGACTGCGTAATTCCGGATTTCTGGAGAGGTTCAAATTGCTCAGATGAGGCAGCACAGACAGCGGCGACACATCGGTAATATGATTAAATGATAAATCGAGCTTTCGCACCTCACGCAATACCGTATTGAGACGCAAAGGCAATGTGTGAATCTCCTTGTTGCGCAAATCGAGTTGTCTTGTGCGCTCCAAATCAATATCCAGCGAAATAAGCTTAGCAAATTTAAGGATCGCTGCAGCTTCAGTTTGCTTGGCGTCTCTGAGTGCTGCAACACCCTTGGTTGCTCTTGATTGATTTCTTTGCATGCTTACACTATAAAATAAATATTATCAGCTCATAGACAAACTTATTCTCAAAATATACAGTAATTCGTGAAAAAATGGATAGCGAACAAAAAAAATATAGGGAAACAAAAAGGTAATCGTGTAGATCACACTTGGAACTCCTTCATCCTCAGCCGTCATTACTTGGCATACACACAAAAATGTTTAGGAGAAGATTAGGTCAGGGGGGCTGTGCACAAAGATTAAATTCTTAGTGTGTAATGTTTTTGACCGCGCAAACCATCTGAGTACACGAAGCGAAAGAAGATGAAGTAGAAGTTTCTGAACAACTACAAATTACAGCAGCACCAACGGTCATGCGTTCGGATCCGTCACTAAATTTTTAAAACAATCGTTTTTGGAGTTTGATGATCTTTGGGTAAGGTATCTTCCCTCGCCACATCCTATTATCCTTCCACAGGTTCTTCAAGGAGAGGATTTCCACCAGCCGTACCCAATTGAATTCTGCTAACCAGCTATAATGGGCAAATGGTATCCAATACAATGAAGGATACGATGGAAAGGAAGAGTTGGAATTTAGCAATTCACTGCTAAAATATACTCATCATTTTAAATTTTGTGCTGGTGGTGGTAATATTTTACCCCTTTTAGAAACAATTACCTTGAATATTACAAGTGCATGAATGAAAAACGATATCTGAGGAAAAGATGGAGAAAACAATAAGAGCATTTAAAATAAATTGGATAAGCACTATTTACTATTTGAAAAAAAAATATGCACTAAAAAAACGCTCGGATAAGTGCTTGCATCGGAAAAATGGAATACTTCAAATTATTATGATTTTCTAATATACATACAACTGAAGCAAGGAGTTCTAGGAAAGTACATCCTTTAGCTTTAAGGATACCGGTTGTAAGAAATCATTCCCATTTGTTCCTTTCAGAAAATGAGGAGGAATGCAAAGCATTGGGTGTGAAGGCTCGTGCACTCGCCTAATGGCATCCTTTTGGGGAGCTTGTGAAACTTCGCTATCCTTCAGCCAGTTGGGAAGATCGGTACATTCTTGCAGAAACTCCAACTCGTTCGGCATCTGCTTCTCAAAGCAGACATTGCAGTAATCAAAACTGTAGCACACGGCGCACTTCCATCGAACACCCCTGATCATTTCATGACATTCGTCACAATAGATACCAAGATGTATCATATTAGATGTATCTGAGGACTGGGAGGCAAAAATAGGCGGTGGTTGAAGAGGAAAGACATTACTAGGTCCCCACAAGACGGGGAGTGAACCTATTGCGCACACGACCGGCGGAATCCGAGCAAAGATATGATTCTGAGGATGACGTCTAGATATAACGCGAGAGCTGTTACTTTGAAAACAATTATGGCATATCACTCCGCACCGCTGCAAACAGTGAAGACATCTGTAAAGTGGGGAAGTATACACGTCTATGGATCTGAAGCACGAAGTACAGGATATTACTTTGTTCTTTAAAAAAGTATAATAAACAGGCAGAACAGGGTCTTGCTTGATGTTCAAAGGGGCTGAACACTTCACAATGTTAACCTGAAAACGGAAGTCAACCAAACCTACAAATGGCTCTATGACTGCTGATATAGAACGCATGTCACGATCAGATATTTGGCCTTGCAAAGAAACCATCGATGTACAAGTCGACTCAATGGCTTTTGTAGAAATATCAGTATAGGGGTTCCTGATTATGTACACATGGTCCACTTGTGCGTAAAAGCTCATTGGCAGACTAAGCTGAAAAATTAAACTACATATCCGACTTGCGAGTGTAAGACGATGTTGTGGGTCAAGATCGCTCCAATGCGAAGACGATGTTTGTGACGACAAATCTACCGATTCATGGTCTCTAGAAGTGTCTACGGCAGCCAGAGGAATAAGTTTGGTAATGCACGGATGGGCTCGATAAGGAGAAGATAGAAGGTTACGCTTTTTAACAGGATGCGTCACTATGAGAAAAGGAAGCACAATCGGGTTGAACATGTTGCAGATCTCGCTCTGTAGACCCTCAGCACCGGACCACAAAGAGATTAAAGAAACCTCTGGACTACACCAGCCGGAACAGCACCAGCACAAATCGATAAAACTCGCGCGTGCTTCTGCTAGATTTCGATCAACGTTAATGAGAACAATTTGAGCACGCTTTGGGGACTTGAATCCATCCAATTTTCCCCTTTCCGTGAGATTAATTGGCCTTTCAGCTATGTTCGCATATTTCTTTACCAGCTCCATCCAACTGTCATCGGAATTGCTAGTTTCCTGTGAACATGTTACACACGCCCTTGAAAGAGTCTTCCCCGTTCTCCTATTGAAAATATTCTTCCTAAGCCATTCGATACACTCAAAGTCCTGACATGACCACAAAATAAATAGGGTTGGAACAGATGTTGACATTTGCCTAATGTTAATCTGATTCTCCTCAAGGGCGGCAACATATTTGGAAAAATTTGCCACAGATTCACTTGAGTCGCTTTTGTCGCAGCCTGATGGCACCGTGCTGGTACTGTGAATGGACCCATTCTCATTTTTCATTTCATCAAGTGTTGAGGTATTTGCACTTATTGATCCCTTCAGAATCATTTCAAGTCTCTGTCTAACTCGCTCGATCCGAGTTTGCATTCTTTTCATAATCCCATACTTAATGGCTAACCCAACACGATACCACCTTAAGAAGCTTTTTGTATGAGCGGAGACCACCAGTGGCTCTAGAAAACAATCCGGAAGCTCATCTCCTACCATATAACGTAGTGAGACATTTGTCGCGAAATCATCAACTCTTCGCAACCGTACAGAACGAACAAGTGACAGAAAGACATCCTTGCGACCATAACTAACACTGCCATATAGAAGTAATCTCTTTTCCACCGTTGGTGTGCTCGAGACACAGCCTCTACGTATTTCTTCACGCTCTGTTAGCTTAAGCGAATCATTTCGGAAAAAAGAGCTATTGATGCTTCTTAGAATAAAGAGAATTACATCTGATTTCTCGTATTCCAACAACTCATTCCATAGGCATACTGTAATGTCGGAAGCCATAACACCTTTCTGGAGGGATGCCCTCAGTGTAACTGTGAATTATTTCTTTCCTATTTTCAGAATAGTTTAATTCATTTCGAGTGCGCTACGAAAATTGTGGAAATATAGACAAGTGTAATTAAGACTAAATGATCCCTTAGGAGATTTTAAAGAAAGATATACTAGGAAATGAGAATGCTTAGGCACAAAATAATACATACCTAGACACAAATAACAATAACAATCTGGACGATCATACTATCATTAGTACCATCATTATTAAGAGACGGAACAAGACGGAAAACGTTTCATAGCAATAACAAGAATAGTTAACAAAGTGTGGCCTAGCATTATCCGAAAGTGGCACAATCTTCCATCACCTAAAGCACAGAATACACACTAAAATAACAGATGTGAATGAATGGTATAAGTAATGTACGGTTGTAACCTCCTAAAGTTAGATCCAGATGCAAAATACGATCATCGCTTTCAGCTGAAGTCTAGATCTGATAACAAGAATGAAAGAGTACAACATCATCGCATTCAGTCCTTTATAGAGAGATACTCGCTTTGTCATCAAGAATGTTGAGAAAGGACTGTCGTAACAATACGTTAGTATGCATGATAACAACAAACAGTGACTATATATTGCGTATAACGATATCGCTTGAACTAAAATCTTGCATGAAAATATGCCTTCACGTTCAGTATTCTTCCATAAACTCCAAATTCGTATAAAAACTACGCTTGACAAAGATGCAAACTGAATGGTTTATTGGTTCCGATAAGTAATATATAGTCTATATCTTTCATAGAAAACGCATATCCACTTAGAATTAACACAAACTGTGCGGACAGCAGGAGATTAAGACTTCCCTCTAAGTCTGAGATGATTACATTCTTAAAAATAGAACATTCAAAACGCATTTACAGGTATTCGAGGCAATTTACTGCAGAAAACTATGTTAAATAAAGAAAAAATACGTTTACCTTAAACTAAGTGACTCGATTAAGAGGTAATCACCATCTGATAATGGAACGTAAGGTTTACTGTTATGTGTAGTCCTATATTCAATCGGATACTTGATCAGGTCTTGAAGTATCGCACAATCCACTAAACCATCTAGCGTCGAGACTGTTAAGGGATGTAACAGAGCCACGAATAGTGCAAACTGATGTAACTACTAAGTGTTTGTGGCAATGAAAAGCAAAATGGTAGAACGAATCAAGAGCTTTTGATATGGTTCAAATAGTACCTCATGTAGTTGTTGGAAAGCAAGGAAATCAATGAGTATGTTGGAAACCTTCTGATTGTATGTTGTCTAAGTCAAACATCAATTGAAATGGTACATTTTGAAACTGCTCTGATCTGATACCCGTGGAGAACAACCTGTAACTAACAAATAACGGGACTACAGAGGACTATAAAGCTGAGGATAAGCACTGCTATGCATGGATAACGAAATGAGCAAACTCTCATTTTACTGCTTGAACTATTTGAGAGCTCGAAAATAACAAACAAACGATGAGGGATGTGAGATAATAAAATCAAAAGTATAACAAATGTGTTTCAGATGATAATCAGAAAAAAAACTCTAATGCTTTATAAATTAACTATAAACATAGATTCGAGTAGTGTTGCACACAAAAAAAAAACATGTAGTGACTCAACTATACATCGTCAATGCTCAGTGATAATCTAAGTACACATATATCGAAAAGAAAATTGTTTAAATAGAAGCTGCGAATCTCCGTGCCTCTTCAATCGCAGCATTCTTACATACTTGCTCATGTGCAGGATCACTGCTGTATACAAAAACAGCTTCTTTTTTGAGCTTCTGCAAAGCCACCTCAATATCTTTGATGGACTTTTCAAGCTCACTTTTCTTCTTGGAAATTGTGGCAGAAGATTTTAGAAATGGTACCTTATTAAGAGCCGTTTCCTTTTCTATGAGCATCTGGCTTAGCTTCGAAACAAGCTCCGCTCTTTCAGATTCATCCAGCCTGTATACATACTGATTGCGTATTTGCTGTTGGCGACTCGCCTTATAGCTCTCTATCAACCTATAATGTTCCTTTTCCTTCTCAATATCTTCTTTCACTTTAGATAAGTATTTCGGTGTTTTGCCAAAGTCCTTACGATCTGTAGCTAATTGCGGCTGATCCTTGCGGCGCTTTGGCACCATGCAACTCGCCACGATGTTTGATTTGACGAAATCCTTCTTTGACTTGAATAAAGTATCTAGTGTATCGGCCGCATCTCCCCTTATGACAGGTAAAATATGATCACCACTTTTTGCGCTTTCATCATTACCACCGTAAGCATTCTCTAGCGAATTTTTTGAATCATTATTCTGCTTATCATGCAAGAGATTATCATCATAAGGCGTGTTATGCTCAGTGGAGTAATGTACACCGTTTTCCTGTCGATTGCTCTTATTGGGAAAAACCTCTGGTCCTAAACGAGGTTTAAGATAGATCTTTTCCTTATGAATTGGGGGAACAACCTTGTGTGTACCTTTACCCTTGTTCAAGAAGTCCTTAGGGTCAATGGTATCACCTACATTTCTGCCGATCACAGCATCCCTCTGTTTGAAAAAGCGGACGTTCGTCCCATCGTAGTTCTTTCCTTTCTCAAAAAAGGTAGAGTATGCCGGTTTCGACGGCTCTTCTAGGTGTTTTTTGTGAGATCCAGTGTAAGGATTACTTTCCTGAACTTCAGGGTCTTCTGTAGAGAGAAGATTGTAGATATTCTCTCCACTCATTTTTGTTCCTTTGATCGCTAAAGTAAGAACTAAAGAAGTTATGTGTATAATAGCATGACCTTAAAAAGCAATTAAGCATAAATAAACATAATAAGTTAGCTTATTTTTTTTAGAAATGCAGTCGCAAGCACGTTTCTCAACATATGCTCTACTGGCAAATGCAGAAAAGACTCGGCAGTTCATATATTAAAAAGAGTATATACTATATATAGTAAATGATGGTAACACTACGCTTCTCATCTCATTTAGACTTTCTTATCCTCTGAAGTCTGCTAGAACGGCTAGATTTACTTCTTAAGCTATTGGATTGGACAGAATGAATGTTGTTACTTGTAAAATAAAAATCTTTTCTTCTCGACATATCACACATATTGGGAAGTGATTCCAACTCAGATTCGTACTGCTTAACTATTTGATTAGCAAGAAAAAAGTCTTCGGTCTTTAGGCGTTCAAAAATATCGATAATGGTCGAAGAAGAAACCAAAATACCCGCTTCGGAGCAGAATTCTAGAACTATTTTGGCGGCACATGGTGCATCAGCTTGTCTCAATAGAGTGTCAATTGCACCATCAATTTGTAGAAAGGGGGACGAGAGCGCCTTTCGAAGCTTTTCAGCTACGTGTTCTTCATTCCATGATTTCTGAACAATAGTTACCTTTTGGGAACTTGAATTCCTTAATAGTTGAGGCGAAACAGGCATCTGAACAGATCGCTGCGTGGAGGAAGCTTTTATAGTAGATCTGTACGGGACAAGTTTAAGCCGGCTATGAATCGAATAGCATCCAACCACATTCTGTTCAAAACTCACCTCTGTTTCTAAGTTTTCAGTGCTGAACCCTTCAAGGAATGCCACAGCAGATGCCAAGGTTCTAGCAACGGCATTCGTTTCGCTAACAAAAGAAAGGAATGCAAATGGAGCACATAGCAAGCGAACTACCGAGTTTTGCCCATCTATTGATAGTTCTGTGACTAGCTTTTTCTGAAGGTAAAAGCTACTGCTACTAATCATTCTCTATTAAGGGAAACAAACAATTTATTTATGTGAAAAGTAACACGTATTACAGGTGTTTTAAGGGCACACAGCTGTGGCCTAAGCACTGAAATAAAAGACATCAGGAAACAAAGGTAGTACTATAATATTCGAAAAAAAAATAACGTTTTCGGCCCTAAGCACACTGAACTAATGTATTTAGTTCCATTTGCATAATGAATATGAAGGACGAATAATAGAAGATTGTCTGCAGCAACTCGCCTCACGCTTTTCATTTTCGCATGTTATGGGCACGCCCCCCTTCTCCCCCCAAAACGGCGGCCCATTCAAGAAAACAGAAAACGCCGGACATCAATAGTCAAAGTTTAGCCAAAATGCACGACTTGTTCCTTTGTGCTGGGGGCGGGCCCCGTTAACACGAAAATATTCAATAGTCTAACAAAGCAAGCCACTTTTCAATGGCGCCAGTGTTTGGAATTCCTTGGTGCGGGCGGGGGCCTGGTGCCCACAACCCCCCCCCACATACACATTAAAAGTAAAAAAAGGGTAGCCGCAAAAAAATCCAATGGCATAGAATCTGGCCTCTGGGGTTGGACTGATGAACGGATATTTCACATAGCTTCTCTGAGTTTGGATTGAAAAAACTGTTCGAAATAAGAACCAATGCGATGGCATAACTAATGGTCAGGTTCGAGCTATTCCCCTACGCCTTGCATTAGGGGGGTGTACCTATATAACTTCCCCCATCGCAATAAATATTATCACAATTTTCGAAGCGACATCCACGTGTTAGTCTATTAGCCTTCTGTCTAGCAATTGTTCTCATGACACACCCTATGGAATAGAATTGGCTTTCTATATAACGGGGGGTCAAAATGACGCCAAGCCTTTTAACCATTATGTAGAAGCTCCACTAGATAGTGGACATTCGCGAGTGGGGTCTGCACAGAAAGGATATGTAGAGGTTCTGTAGACTACAAAATGAGGAAAACCAATCTTGTGCCGAATTACTCAGTTTAATAGTCTCAATATAAAATTATTTCAACATTATTTCAAGGGTAGACTTAACGTAATTTTTTTCCCTCAATTTACCCTTTTGGAATATTTTCAAACATCTTCCTATACGTTTGGGGTGCGTGAGAATACCGCCCTGCGTGGAGTGTCAGTTCAGGCTGTTGTAAGCGGAAACACAGTAGACCATTAGTATTCCATATTTACTATAGCATATGGATTGAAAAGCTCTGCCTCTTCGTTTTGACTGGATCCTGGGGTACTTTAGGAGTCCGTCCTAAGCGTCTTCACCCTTCTTTAACTTGAGAGATGGGCTCCGCGGTTTCTTTTTCTGGATGCAGCAATTAATTCTTTTTTTTCTGTATCAATCGGCTAAGGTGGTGCTATTAAAAGTCTCTATAGAAGATATAGCATGTACGCATCATGTTCCACGCATATTTATGATACACACATACATATATATATATAGAGAGAGAGAGAGATAGATAGATAAATAGATATAGATATACATATCTATAGATAGAGATGTATGAAAAATCTCAAAACTTAATTTTTTTCTAATGCTTTATAATTATCGCTGATGTAATATGACATTTTATTTCGCATTTTTTTACTCCTAAAAATTCTACCTGCATCAGTTTTTTTTCCCCCTATAGCTTACGGTTAGGTCACAAAATGATTTTAACACCGACAACTTTACGCAATTTGGAAAATGTTAAAGTTGGCCTGCAATCGTCAAAGGCTGTACTTATCCAAGGTGAAATTGGTTGCGGCAAGAGTATCATAGTTCATTTTTTAGCTGAGCAACTAGGCAAGAAAGAATCTATGATACAAATAAATGTGGATGACACATTTGATAATAAGGACCTTTTAGGGAAGTTTTCTGCCACCGATACACCTGGAACATTTGAATGGGTACCAGGACCTCTTACTGTTGCCGTACAAAAGGGCTACTGGATTTTAATGGAGGACATTGATTTAGCATCGTTCGATGTGTTTTCCGTCATTCTGTCACTTTTAGAAAACTCGACGTTATTCTTAGCAGACAAGAATGTAACTATCCAAGCACATCCTGACTTTAAATTAATAGCTACGCAGCAGCTCTACGCCTCTGGAACTTCACTTTTATCATGCCGGACTAATACTGTTCCATTTATGGAACTTTGGGGAGCAGTTATAATGGAGCGAGTACCACCTGATGAAATTCTCACTATCATTCAGTCCCTGTATAGTGATGTCCCCAGAAGTACCGTGGAAAACTTGGCATCTCTAGTATTCGATAAAAACAGAGGCCCTTTGTTGATGCTCAGAGATCTTTTAAAATGGAGCTTGAGGGTTGATAAGAGGTTTAAGCAAATTGATGAAACTCATAAGGGGAAGAACAGTAATAATAATGATAATACAGGATTTATTCCTTCAACTCTACGTGAAGGAATGCTAAAGGAAGCATTTGATTGCTTTTTAGCGAAGTACCCTCCCGGGAAGTCAAGAGATCTTATGCTCGCTATGGTAGCCACTGCATGTGGTGTTCCGGAAAATGTAGCAAATCCGATAGTATTTGCTAGCAAACCTATTGAAAAGACATCAGACGGGATTTATTCAATTGGACGTGTGACACTTCCTTGTAATTCTTTTGCTAAGGAAGCTTCGGATGAACGGATTATTTTTGCCCCCACAATGCATTCTATGTGCTTGTTGGAAAGACTTGCTGCTTGCGTGCAATGCCGTGAAAACGTTTTGTTGAGTGGTGAAACAGGTGTCGGTAAGACATTTATTGTACAATACCTTGCGGGACAGCTTGGCCAAAAATTAATTGTGCACAATCTCAATCAGCAGACTGACACATGTGATTTTATGGGCGGGTGGAAGCCTTTGGACGTTGGCCTACCGATACGTGAAGCATACTTGAACTTTGTGGACCTGTTCTCAAAATCTTTTAACCTTGAGAAAAATATTGCCTTTTTAAACACACTTCAGCAAGTTGTGAACTCACGTAAGTGGGATCGTGCTCTTCGCCAAATGCTCAAAGGATGTGAAACATTTTTGATTAAAAATGAGCGGAGCCCGTTTTCATTAGAAATTCAAAATCAATGGAAGGCACTTCAGAATCAAACAGAGGAATTATTAAATACAGTTGAAAAAACACGAACAACATTCTCTTTTTATTATGAAGAGGGATCCCTTGTTAAATCCTGGAGAGAAGGGCACTGGATTCTTCTAGACGAGTTGAACCTAGCCTCTACGGAGGTGCTAGAACGTGTTTCATCTGTTTTAGGAGATGTCGATCGACTATTTTTAACAGATAAGGAAAATATCGAGCCCATCTTGAGACATCCCAATTTCCGTGTTTTTGCTAACATGAACCCCCCTACAGACGTCGGTAAAAAGGATTTGCCACCTTCCTTGCGGTCGCGTTTTACAGAATTTTATGTGAGTGAACCTTTTAATCCAACGGACATTAATGTTATTGTCCAAGAGTACATTGGTTTTCTCGCTCCAGACACACCGAAGGACTGTATTACTAATTTTTTCCTTGATTGTGTGCTGAATGCTAAATCCCAGCTCTGCTCCTTAGATGGGGAGTCGAAACCACCATCGTTTAGCCTGCGTACCCTCACTCGAGCTCTTTCATACGTTAGAAAGGCTGCCCCTTTGTATGGATACACGGTGGCATTATATGATGGTCTGATGCTTGGGTTTGCAACGCCGCTACAACGTCAGTTTCATGCGGTAGTGGAGAGCCTTATCGTGAAAAATATTTTTCATGGTAAAAAACCTGCTTGCCCACGATTACCACCGCCTCCACAAAGCGGCCGTCACGTGCAATACGAGCACATATGGATCCCAGCTGGAGATCAGGAATGTGTTAAGGATCCTTCCTTCATCTTGACAGATAGTGTAAAAGGGCATTTAACTAATCTTGCACGAGCGGCTTTTGCTAACCGTCCTGTTCTGTTGGAAGGCCCGACATCGTCTGGCAAGAGTTCTATGGTCAAATACTTGGCCGAGTTAACTGGAAACAAATTTGTCCGTATCAATAACCATGAAAGTACCGAAGTACAGGAATACCTTGGGCATTATGTGACCGATGAATTTGGGAAGCTACGGTTCGTCGATGGAATTTTGGTTACCGCTGTTAGGCGTGGCTACTGGGTTGTGTTGGACGAGCTTAACTTAGCACCGACAGACGTACTGGAAGCTTTAAACCGCCTTCTGGATGACAATTGTGAGCTGTTTATACCAGACACTCAAGAGGTCATCAAACCACATCCCCAGCTTCGCATTTTTGCTACACAGAACCCGGCAGGTGTATATGGTGGGCGAAAGCTCCTTTCGCGTGCCTTCCGCAATCGCTTTTTAGAAATAACCGTTGACGAAATTCCAAACAAAGAAGTTAAATTAATTCTGCAGAAACGGTATACATTACCGGCAAGTTTTGCTGAAAAAATGGTTGAAATCATGACCAATTTACAGACACGGCGCCAAAATTCCCAAATTTTCGCCGGACGGCATGGCTTTATCACTCCACGTGACTTATTTTGCTGGGCTGAGCGCAAACCGAGCACCTTTCAAGAACTTTCCGAACATGGCTTTCTCTTACTTGGTGAACGATGTCGTAAACCAGAAGAGAGACAAATTGTACGAGATGTCATTGAGTCGGTAACACGAACTGTGATTGATGACGATCTGATTTACTCACCTTCCCATTGGCCATTTGTTCAAGAGTACTTCAAGAAGGTGGAGGGGGGTGCTGTTGATGAGTACAAAATTGTGTGGACGCCCTCAATGCAGCGTCTATTTACAATTGTTGGGCTGTGCCTTGAGCACAAAGAGCCTGCTCTTCTAGTAGGTGAGACTGGAAGCAGCAAAACTACAATTTGTCAGCTCTGGGCGGCTTTACTCGGCCTTCCGTTGCATATCCTGAATTGCCATCAGCATACGGAAGCAGCGGACTTTCTCGGGTGTCTCTGTCCGGTCTCTCCAGACCGTCGTGATGGTGCTTTGTTTGAATGGCACGACGGACCACTGGTGCAGAGTATGATTAATGGTGACTTTTTCGTTCTCGACGAAATTTCTCTCGCGGAAGATAGCGTTCTGGAGGGACTGAACAGCTTACTAGAGCCCTCACGCAGCATAACCCTCACGGAAAAGAGCTCAGCAGACCACATTGTTGCTCATGAGAAGTTTCGGATTATGGCAACGATGAATCCGGGTGGAGACTTTGGCAAAAAAGAACTTTCACCAGCCTTGCGCAACCGCTTTACAGAAATCTATGTTCGACCCACTACAAGTAAAGATGAGGTTTCACTTATCCTTTCCAAACGTTTGGAACCTGGGGTCGAAATGTGGGCCGATAAAATTGCCGATATGCTTTGTAGTTTCTCTGACTTGGTTTGCCAATCTAAAGCTCAAACACACATCAGCATTCGTGATGTTATTAGCTGGGTTTCTTTTATGAACGCTGCGCATAACAGGTGTCCACCTACCCTGGCATTTTTGCAAGGGTTTGATGCGGTCATTTTAGATGGTATTGGCGTCGGAGTTGGGCTATCAGGGGCTCCTGTAGAGATGCTCAAGCGGATATGCCTTGAAAAAGCACAAAAACTCTGCGGGATAGACCCGAAAAGTGATGCGACACTCAGCCAGCCATTTTGGACGTTTTTCGAGTCCATGCCAGAACCACAGCTTCCACCCGATATGCAGAAGCGCTTCTTCTTTGGGGCCTCTACAACGCAGAGGAATCTTTCTAAACTGATGCGTGCAAGTATTCTCAAGAAGGCTGTGCTTTTGGAAGGTAGCCCTGGTGTGGGCAAGACCAGCATCGTGGAGGCTCTAGGCTGCGCGTTAGGGGGGCATGTGGTGCGTATCAATCTCAGTGAACAAACCGACATAATGGATTTGCTGGGGTCATTTCTACCATGCCCAAACAACCAATCTGAGGAACTAGAGGATTCACAGTCTTGTGATCCCATGTCGCAGGCATGCCCGCAGTTCGCTTGGTCTGATGGAATTCTTTTGCGCGCTTTAAAAGAGGGTGCATGGGTAATTCTGGATGAACTGAACTTGGCCAGCCAATCCGTCTTAGAAGGTTTAAATGCCCTTCTTGATCACCGTTCCACCGTTTTCATACCTGAATTAAATGAAGAGTTTCGTGCACATGAAAACTTCCGTGTGTTTGCATGCCAAAACCCTCTCATAGAGGGTGGTGGTCGAAAGGGTCTGCCTCGCAGTTTTTTGAATCGCTTTGTACGCGTCCGCGTGGATGCATTTCAAACGGAAGACTTGATTGCCATTACCAAAACTATTTGCCCAAGTGTAAATGAGGAAATTTTAAAAAGAATCGTGGCTTTTGTGGAGGCATTGCAGCGGGAAACAATGGAAAGACGAAGCTTCGCGATCCGGGGAAGTCCATGGGAGTTTAATCTACGCGATGTGCTGCGGTGGGTAAATTTAATGCAAGCATACGACTTGCGCGACAAGCCAACCTACTTTGCAGATATGCTGTTCCTGCAGCGCATGCGTACGCACGAGGATGAAAAACGATGTCTGCAACTACTAGCAGAGTATTTCCCTACTACCGATGATATCCTCCCCTCAAGTGATTCCGACTTTTTAATTCATGGGGATTCTATCTGCTTCGAAAAGCATCGTCTCGCAGGGCGCTTGGCATCAGATGCCAACGATGTTGCTTCTACATCGTGCGATAAAGTCCCCACAATCATGCTACTGCCCTCGCAAACTCGCGTTGTAAAATCTTTGCTCATTTGTGCAGAACAAGTCCAGTTCGTGCTTCTTGTTGGACCTTCTGGTGCAGGGAAAACGTTTGCCCTCAAAACTGCTGCATCCTTAGTAGGCGCTAAGCTTGTAACGTTTTCCATGACTGCTAGCTGCGACACCGTTGATTTGCTTGGAGGCTTTGATCAAGTGGAGGGCCAACAAGGTCAATTCGAGTGGCGTGATTCCCTGCTACTCGAGGCAATGGTGATGGGTTATTGGCTAGTTCTGGATAACGTCAATTACTGCAATGCGAGCGTTCTGGATCGTCTAAATCCGTTAGTGGAGCCAAATGGCTCGCTTTCCGTCAGTGAGCAAGGTCTCGTGAACGGCCAGATACGTGTGATACGACCGCATCCGAATTTCCGCCTCTTCGCCACACTCAACCCAAAGTACGGTGATATATCAAGGGCTATGCGTAATCGAGCTGTGGAGCTCTTCATGCCGCCTGCACCGATTCCCTCACCTGAAGCCGCGATGCTGGAGGTTGCCACGCATCCGGAGGTGAACATTGATGTTGCCAGAGAGGATGAATGGCTGAGCAAAATTATGAGGTTCCACAGCGTGTTTCTTAAGGCTGCCTTTGGCGTGGACTCCACTAAACCGGCATCGGGCGCATTAAGTGATGCACTGGCTGCGGGTGCACCTAATATTTACACCCTACAGCGTTCTTGTGCGATTCTCCGAGCTAACCTCGGCGATGCGGCGAGCGACGACCTGAAGGAGGTAGAAAAATGCATTTTGCACCGCTACATCAACAACCGCAGTGGTCCATGGATGTACAAAAAAGAAGAGCTGGTTGACAGCCTTCAAGAAATTCTCAACTTGACGTTTTCTCCGCAAAACACGCACGTTGCGGCGAGAGATTTGGTTGCCGCTTCACAACTTAATTATTCAGGTGTAGACACTTCGGAGGTCCTTGAAAGACAACGTGTGGCACGTCAAGCCCTTGCACTCCGCAAGCTCTCTACAGGTCCCATTCAGTTGGGTGACGATGGAACTCTTGTTGATGTCGTCGATGTTGTATTTCATTTTGTTTTAGAGCAATCAAACGACAGTGTGGTGCTGCCTGGACTCTCGTTCAAACGCCGAAAAGTGTTGCGTGACCTATTTCCGAGTAAGGAGTTCACCGAATTAGATGATCTCTTGTGTGAAACATACTGTGGATCTGGTATGTTAGATAGTCTTTACTGTCAGGCTGCGTTTCGTATTGGCCCGCGCTCTTCACTGCTATCGAGCATCAACCCCAAAGTGCTTGCTAACCATCCTGAGAAGGTCGTCCTGACCGGATCAGCCTCGGTGAACCAAAGTCTCACACACGTTCTTCACGCTGTTCAAAAACACCTCGTGATTCTCACATCGCCTTTGGAATTCCAAAACATTTCATCTGTGTTGATCCCATTTTTGGAGCATCTAAGCCGTCTGGATTCGTTATCGTTGGATAATTATGTTTCTGTCACCACCCAAGCCCTTCTGCTCCGTAGTGTATCTATGGAACTTTGCTCGCACCCATCCGATGGTTTCTCGGAGATTTCACAAGCCTTGGCAGACTTCATCGATTCCATTCGAAGCTATCTGGATTTGCCATTTTCTTTGATCGGAGGGTTGAGCGTGATGGAAGGATTTGTACCACACCCGCATATTACTACCAAGGAAGAGCGGAGCTTGCTTTCCCGATGGCAGAATCGAATTGAAACCGAAAAAGAGCAGGCTGCTGACAAATCAAGAACCCAATCGCGGCAAATATTGCAGCAGCTTTGGGAAGTCGCCGCATATAGAGCGGAACATGAAACCATACAGCTTTTGCTGAGCTTGCTTGCAATGGGGTCTTCCGCACATCCCGGATGGAATTCCCATCTGCGCAGCCTTTGCCGCTCCATTTCCATCCTGCAAGATCAATACATGAATAAACTTTTATTATTTAGCGAGTTGGAGATGGCCTTGTGGCGAAGCTTGCTCATGGTGAGCGCGCAGGAGGCTGAGGAGGCTATTCAGCAGTGTGCGCCCTTGCTGATATGCCGTTTCATCACGCGCTATGGCCTCAACGCCGTCGCGCATTTGTTTCCCGGCTCGTGGGTGAACACCGCCACGCGATGTCTGAAATACGCCTCAAAAGTATCCGTACTGGCGATTGGGCAGAGCTCGAATGATTACACGCACTCGCTTTCCGGATTAGTTGGCTTCCTGAGTGCCTGCCCGGTTGCTCCTCCTCGACTCTTTTCGGTGTGGAAGCGGAATGCTCAGCGGGAGCTTCCCACATTGGTTCGGGCTTGCTTCTCGGAAGAGACGGTTTTGGGCAATTGCGTCCTGCCGTTAGATGCTCCCGAGTCTCGGCTGGTGGCGCTTTTAGAACCAGTTCGGAGCTTATTACTTTCTTCATCGGGTACGTTATCAAATAATGCCGTCAAATCTCAGAAGGGTCTTTTTCTTAAATTGCTGGCTTGTTTGTGCGCAGAACACGAGGACGCTAAGAACCCTCGTCAAGCCCTAACATTTACAGCGCTGTTATACATTCTTAAGTGTCGTCTGTTGCTTCCTCAAAGCCCTATTGATCCTATGTATCGTCATCAATGTGAGATGGAATCCGCGAGGGAGGAGGTGCTCGTTCTCAAACGCCTTGAGGGGGTATTCAAATGGGCTGAGCAGGTTGCCCTGCGTGGCGGTGGCTCTCCACAATTGCACTTGTTAACATCCCTGCGCTCTCAGCAGCAGGAGCGTCTTCAAAAGGCCTCCGAGAAGTTCGTCGAACGCTCCGATCAGACTGGCATGCAGTACGCAACGCTCGTTCGACAGTTGTACCAGCTTACCAGCACCCTTCTCTCGGATGATCATCTTGACGCCATCTTTTCAGATACCAATTTTTCCGAGACTATGCAGGTGGATGCTCGAATCAGCTGGAGTGAACTCTTGTTCCAAGGCGTAACGGAATTGCTCACCAAGTACAGCGGTTACGAGGACGTCACCCTTAATTTCGCACAGGCAGCCCTATTGGCGTCCATAGCCGCTAGGGCGAGCTGCTACGCTAGAAGCAGCGAATCGCTTGCCGTTAATACATCAGCAAGCGGTCGGCCAAGCCTTCTCGGGGTTGAGGAAACCATTCAGCTTCTGCAGTTTCCGCTAAACTTGTGGTCCCTTCCTCTCCCATCTGTGAAACTTGTGTGCAATGGAAGTGGTGCTGACTTGCGGAGCGTGCTGGAATACCTGGATGGCTCTCTTAAGATGCTCCAGGGCTTTACTCCGCACGCCGTAGACTGGGGTTTTGTTGAAGGTCTTTTTCTAATTTATCGTGAGCTCTACCGCGCGGTTGAGATTCAGGAACGGGAAGAACAGCACGCCGATGAGATGTCCGTCCTTTACAAGGAAAGATCTCTAGTTATTGAAGGAGATGACGAAAAGCTACTGCGTCGATTAAAAGACTTGCTTCCGAATTACGAGCAAGAGTTCACCAACTTGGATAATGATACAGGTGACCTTCCAATGGACCGGGATATTCTCGCGGATCGCGAGGAACGTGCCGCAACGACTAATGGACGGGCTGCCAGGCACACTCGGATAATGTTCGAGGAGCGCGACGGGGCCTATCTGCGTCGATTAATCCACACCTATGGGGAATTTTTCGAGAGACTTGTGGGGTGCCGCATGGAGCCTTGTTCGGCCCGCGCGGAGCTTTTGCTGGAGTCGTTTAAAACTCGATTTGATGTGTTATCCGGCGAGCTCGCTCGGTTTGGTCTCGACTCCACCGCATCCTTCATCGGGGAAGGGGAGGAGGGGTTGATTTTGAACGGCTTTGCCTTCCGTGCGGAGCTTCTGCGGGTGGATCTCAGCCGTGGGGCGACCGCCCTCGCGGCGGAGCGGCTCTCCTTGGAGGAGCGTCGTACAACGGGCTTCAACCTCTTCACCGATGCCGATCCCGGCGAGGTGAGTTGTTTTAGTAAACCTTTGGAGCGGCTTTTGTCGGCCGTGGAGGGGTTGGCGGCGATCTACCCGGATACCGTATCGCTTCAGCGTTGCCAACGCCTCGGCCGCAAGATTGGCGCGCTTCCCGCGCTCACCACGCCGCTCATGCGGATCCTCGCCGGCTGCGAGGTGCTCCTCGCGGAGTGCTACGAATGGGAGCGAAACGCCGCGAAGGAGGTGTCGATTATGCCGCACATCACCGAACTCTCCGCGTTTGTCTTACGTTGGCGTCGGATGGAGCTGCACTGCTGGGCGCATGTGTTTAAGGCGAAACGGGATGAGTTTGAGATGCGGGCCTCCAAAAAATGGTTTCATCTCTACGATTTCATCCGTGGCGCCGACGAGAGGCTTTCCGCGATGAAGGCGACCCCCTTCCATTCATCAGATGGGGATGCCCACACGCAGTGGTTGTGTGAGCAGTGCAATCATCTCTTTGAGAGTCTGACCGCCTATCTATGGGAGGCCTGCTATGGAGATTTTGACATGCGTCTACAGATAGTTCGGAGCGTCGGACTCGAGCTTTTGGCTACGCATGGCGCTCGATCCCCTCTTGCCAACGTCGCCCTCCACGTTTCGGACTTCTTCGCGCAGTTTTCAGGGTTTATACAGGAAAAATCATCTCAAGCGACGCGGCCGATCGAGGAGGAGATGAACGAGTTCACCAAAATCATGCGATGGGAGGACGCCAACTATTACGCCGTCCGCGCGACCAGTGAGAAGGTTCACTTGAAGGTAGCGCGCGCGCTGAGCAGCTTTGAGGATGTGCTTCGAACACCCGTTCGTGTTGTTATTGCCGAAGAAGAGCAAAGAATTCAGGACGATCCATGCATGGGAATCCCTCTTCTAGGATCCGTTGCACACGACGGGAATTTAGCAACCCCAAAAGACATCAATGGAAAGGGGAGTAGGAAAAATCCGAAACTTTCTGACAATCAAAGTCACAACGTCGATAAAAAGGCAGGCGAGGCAAAGAATATGAAACGACAACGAGCGAGCAAAACAACCTCGGCGTCTAAAGTAAAGGAGCCCATCGTGGCAGCGAATCCCTTTGAGGGATGGCCATTTCGCGTGATCATGGACGCCTATGAGTTCTTTTCAGAGTCTACTACGGAGCTCTTACAGCGCGTGAAGGCCCTGCAAGCTCCCAAAACACCCTATCAGATGAAAATTCGTGCACTCAAGACCCTTTTTGGGGTTCTGGATGAGTTCGGGGTTCCCCACAGGCATGAAATCCGAATGGGTTCGTGGGATGTGGTGTTCAGCACCACCACCGCGATGTTGAGCTCCCGCTCAGTCCATAACGACCAGCTTACCGTTGTTGCCGAATTTGAAAAATCGGAGAAGGAGTACTACAAGTTTGTTCGTTGGCTGCAGCTGATGCGAGAGGCAGGCCGTGGAAAGACGCATGCGGATCTCTCCGAGGCGCAGGTAAGGCGGGGAACCGGGATCTCGGAATCCCTTTTCACGCATGCCGTGGGGCTCACGGAGTTGATGTCTGGGTTGAGCGATTTAACGCGCCTTTTACACACCCTGGAGGTGTTCGTGCGGTCGTGCGGGGGGGAAAGGGCAGGAAACGTGGGAGCCTCTCCACCCGTCGAGGCGGTCTTGGTGAAGGATGTGGCGGTGTTGGATGCCGCGATGAAGCTGTGTGGCGCGACGCAGGCTTTCCACGGGAGTCTGGAATGGATGCTTTCGCATACGGATTTGCGCGCGTCCGAGGAGTTCGACCTCCGCGCGTCGGTGGTGGAGCTTGGAAACGAGGCGGGGCAACTCTGGCAGCTCTGCAGGACGCACGAGCCGCTCCGCCGCGGCCAGGCCCCCATCCCGGCAACCCTCACGCATCAATTCATCGCTGCCGCTCGTCGGCTCCGCGAGGTCTGCGACCGTCTAAGGGATCCCTCACGGCCCCCAAAACCCTCCATGGAGGGAACCCCTCCTGGTGGAACCCACATCCCCACCGCCGCGGCGGCGCATGGCGCGAAAATCGCGGATTTCCTCGCGCGATTCGACCCCCCCGCGGCGGATCCTCGCGACCCCGTGGACGCCAAACGACCGCGCACGGAAGCCGCCGAGGGGAAGGGGTGGGGGGTTCAACTCCACGACCTCCTCGAAACCCTCTCGGCGGCCTTCACGGACGCGCCCGTGGCGACTTCGGATCCCAACCCCGCCGCCGCTTCCCCTTCCTCGTCCTCCATCGTGGGGTATAAAGGGTATCAAGCGAGGCTGGAAGGTCTCGGGCACTCCACGCGGGTTGCCATTGCCGGGCTCGATGCCCTTCTCCATCCCGGGAGTGGGGTTTGCAACGGGACGAACGCCCTCGGCGGGTTCCGTTCCCAGCTCGACGACGGGAACCCAAATGAACTCCTACGCGACCTATCGCGCGTCCGCGGGCTCCTACAAAGGGCTCAGAAGGCTCTTCACGAAACCTTCAACGCCCATGTCGGTTTTGGGGTTGCCTTGACGCGTCTTTTCACGATTTTGATGAAAAAAGGATTCTGCAAAACGGAGGACGACGAAGACGAGGGCGACGGCGACGGCGACGGCGGCGCGCCACGCGACGGCACCGGGATGGACGACGGCGAGGGTGAAAAAGACGTAACGAATGAAATGGAAAACGAAGATCAGCTGATGAACATGAAAGACAAGGAGGAGCAACCACGCGAGGAGCAGGAAAAGGAGAATGGCGAGGACGACGAAGACCACGCGGCCGACGTCGAGACCGATTTCCAGGCGCAGAAGCAAAACCGCGAGGAAAGCGACGCCGACGGGGAGGAAAGCGACGACGACGAGGCGGGCAGCAACCAGGAGATGGGCAGCGTCGACGGCGAGGACGAGCGAGATCGGAAGAAAACCCGAAAAGATAACGACGACGACGACGATATGCGCGAGGACGAACACGACGGCACCGCATCCGAGGTGCCGGAGGATCAGTTAATGCAAGAAGAAGGGATCGAAGGGGAGGAGGACGAGACCGGAGGTTTTGAGGATAAACAGAAAGAGATCCGCGACGCGGAAGAGAAGCGGGAAGGCGAGCATGAGCTGGTCGGGGAAGACGACCAGCACGGCGCGTTATCCGACGATCTCGACGACGATAGCAGCAGCGGGAGGTCGCGATCGGACGAAAGCGGCGATGAAGCGTCAAACGCCGGGGAGGACGAGAAGGCTTCTGATGATGAAACGGATTCCAAGCAAGAATCCGAGGACGGGGAAGGGGGATCGGAAGGTCGTGAGGATATGGAGGCCACCACGGATAGTGATCAGGAAAACCAAGAGGATGCCGACAAGCAACAAGAGGTGGATGTCGACCGCGAGGACCTCTCCGGCGAGGATGTTGAGGATCTCGACAGTGCGGAGGACGACGGCAAAGACGAAAACGTCTTCGAGGGCGGCTTCCAGGACGACGAACACGGCGAGGAGGCCACGAAACGGAAGGAACGCGAATCCGATGCCGCGCGGCAGCAGCCCGAGGCGACCGGGAATGAGGAGGATCAGCCGAATCAGCAACAGGAGCAGGATGATGCGGGGCGGAACTGGAAGAAACAACAGGAGCAAAACCAGCAAATGCAACGCAAGGATGACAGCGAGAGAAAACGCGCGAACCACAACCCTTATCACGCCATCAAAGAGGCTCTTCAACGCCACGATCGTCAAACCCAGCAACTCGACCTCAACCAACGCGTGCATGTCCAAAAAGAGGATCCGAGCAAAAACGCGAAGGAGGACCGCGCGAATCCCGACGTGGAGAAGCCCGTGGAGGAACGCCCAGACGCCTTTGAGTTCGACGAGGAAGGCGAGCAGGAAGGGGTGGCCGCCACGGACGAGCAGCCGAACCCCTCGAAGGCCGACGAGGCCGAGCAAAACCTCGGCGATGCAGGCGAAACCCCCCTTAGCGAGGATGAAACCACGAAAGCGGAGGAGGACGAAGCAGATCGCGCGGCGGTTCCGGAGGATGTTTCGCGGCGACGACGCACCCAGGCCGAGGAGATCACCCAAGAAGAGGAGGAAGGGGGGGATCCAGGGGAGGAGACGAAAAAGAAGCGAAAGAGCAGGCAGACGGTGCGTCTCCTCGCCCGCTCCGATCCCGACGAGGAGGAGGAAGAAGACGCGGAAGCGGCGGAATCGGCCGCCGAGGAGGATTCCCACGCCGTTGACGAGAAACTCGAGCGCGGGCGACGCCTCTGGCAGGAGCAAGAAGCCGCCGTCGAGGGCCTCTCGCAGCAGCTGTGTGAGCAGCTCCGCCTCGTCCTCGCCCCCACCCGCGCCGACAAACTTCAAGGGGATTATAAAACCGGCAAACGACTGAACATGAAGCGGATCATTCCTTATATCGCCTCACAATTCAAAAAAGATCGCATCTGGCTTCGTCGGACGAAACCGAGCAAACGAACGTATCAGGTGATGGTCGCCTTGGATGATTCGCTGAGTATGCAGTGCAACCGCGCCGGGGTGATCTCCTTCCGCGCCGTTGCCCTCCTCGCGAAGGCGTTGCAGCAGCTGGAGGTGGGGGAGATCGGGATCGCGGGATTTGGGAAGGAAACGAGGATTATCCATCCCATGGAGGAGGCCTTCGTCGGGGATAGCGGGGCGCGCTCCTTTAGCGAGATCACCTTCACCCAAACAAGCACCAACCTCCGACGCTTTTTGGAAACAACCTTGGATTACCTCGACGCCGCGCGCGAACGCGCGGAGGCGCAAACCCGCTCCACCACACAGCAGCTTCAGCAGATTCTTTTCATTATCAGCGACGGGCAAATCACCGAGGATCGCGCGGAGCTCCGCAAACTCCTCGTGCGGGCGGAGGAAAACCACCAGATGGTCGTCTTCGCCCTCCTCGACCTCAAACTGGACGGGGCGAAAGGGCAGGAAGGGGAGGCGGAGGCGGCCGCCACGGCGAAACCACTGCAGCCGGCCGACGTGAAAGGCCTCTCCACCGCGGAGCGGTTGCGTCGGCTGAAGGCCGATCGCGAGGCCCGTCTGAAACGCGTGCAATCCAACTCGATCTTGGATATGCAGATTGTGGAGTTCAAGCAGGGGAAGGTGATTCGTCGGTTGTACATGGAGGACTTCCCTTTCCCGTACTACCTCATCGTGCGGGAGCTCGAGAGCCTGCCTGAGGTTATCGCAGATGCCATGCGGCAGTGGTTTGAACTGTTAAACGCTAAATAATAAGAGCCCCCTCTTTGCTGTCCGTTGAAACGCTTTCTTGGGGTATGATTTATATGCGTGTGTTGATTTTCAACGGAGACGAATGGTGTCAGATTTTACCGCCTATCTATAATTTTTGGAGTAATTCTGAGTAGAAAGATTGACAATTACATCTTGTTGTGGACATTATTATTATCTATTATTTATACACCAATTTCAGTAAGTAAAAAATAAGTAACATTGATCTCGACGTTTAAGTCTACACCAGACGTGTTGGTCTTGTGTATGACAATAATAACTCAAAGTAACTAACAGTTAAAATAATACAAATAAATAAATAAATAAATATATATATATATATATACATTTCATCTATTTAAAACGATGTGAAACAACCCTTAATCAGAATATGTTGTTCTTTCCGATTTTAATCATTTATTTTCGCCTTCCTTCTCCTTCATTTTTCTGTTCTGTTATTCCATTCATACTGAAGGGATAGAAACCATAGACTTTTAGATTGATTGGTTTCTTTTTTTTCTTTTTGGTCTAGTCATCAAAAGTGTTGATGTCAAGCAATTTCGTGGAGGGGGTTGACCTCCAGGACCTTGTCTCTCTTACTCAGTCTGAGGCGTTGCATCGTTGCCTGGATGGTTTGCTAACAACCGGTTTGCAAGCAACTGAGGTCGGTCGTGCGCGCCGGTTGGTGCAGCGCATTTTATACCATCGTAATCAAGGTGATAAAGTGTTTCTTTCCTACACTTCCAATCTAATCTCATCCGGCCTGCGGGATACCTTTATGGTTCTGGCGAAAGAAAAGCTTGTGGATGCGTTCATCTCCTCCGCTGGGGGCATCGAAGAGGACGTCATCAAGTGCTTTGGTAAGACCTATGTCGGGATGTTCTCGTTGGACGGTAAGATGCTTCGAAAGCAAGGACTTAATCGGGTTGGAAATTTGCTCATTCCAAACGATAACTACTGCCACTTTGAGGAGTTTCTCATGCCCGTCTTAAAGTCAACGCTGGAGATGCAAAAAGAATCCCTCTGGGCTGCGCATACCGCGCCTTCAGACTTCATAGCGGCAATGGGCCGCGCCTTAGAGGTTCACGCGCCGCAGTCAGAATGTGAAACGAGTCTGGTGTATTGGTGCTATAAAAATAACATTCCGATGTTTTCTCCTGCCCTCACCGACGGATCCATCGGGGATATGATTTATTTCTTCAGCTTTAAGGAGAGTGGTTTGATCGTAGATCCGATTAAAGATGTGGTGAAGCTTCGCTCCCTTTGCGCTTCCAACGTAACCCCTGGCGGGAAGAATCATGGCATCATCTTAGGCGCTGGTCTCCCTAAAAATCATCTCCTTAGAAACATCAAACTAGATTGTATGGTGGTGGTAACGACGGGGTTGGAGGCGGATGGCTGCGCGAGCTCCTGTACGGTAGCCGACGACGTCTACTGCGGGTTAATTAAAGAGGACTGTGAAGTAGTGCGTGTGCAAGGTGACGCCACGCTACTATTTCCAATGATGCTTGTTACGGAAGCGAAGACGTCCGCCTTGCCTTGATAAGGGCATCTGCTGGAATGTTTTTCTTTCCCAATTGAAATTAAGCCTTTGTGAACGAGCGCGATTCAACGTGTGTATGTCGCGTGCTAACACTTGCAAAGAAAAAGAACTAATGACCTCAAGCAAACTAAACCATGTGCGTTTCAAAAGAGTTGCCATTATTCAGTATCATTTTTTTCTCCCCCTCCCCAGGCATCGTGCGTGTGTATGACTTCACTGATATAGTTATTCTGCTTTCCTTCGCTACTTTTGAATGTTACTAAAGCTTTGTTTATCGTCACACGACTTCCTCAATTATTCAGCACATTACCACCTATCCTGATCGGTTGCCATGTTCCGGAAAAATATTTTGGTAACCTTGCTTTGGGTTGTTTGTGTGGGGCTTCTGATGTGCAGCTCCGCTGAGGCGGTTGTGCGGTCCTTCAAACTGCAGCGTCGCCTCGGGATCGATGGGAAGTGGATCGACCTAGCGAACTTCACCCTCAAGCAGCTCTCCTCCCAGTCTCCTGTTCAGCTCAAACACACCCAAACCGGTAAGGATAGCGTGCTCCTCTCCGAGGACGAAAAGCTCGCCTTCACGACGGTGAGTTTGGTGTACTACCGCGCCCTACCACAGTCGTCGGGAGGGGGCTCCCAGGATGACGAGAACGCCGTGATCGTGGTTGTCTCCCCGTGCACGATCGTTCGCGGCTTTTTAGCGCAAGATAGCACCACGGTCGTGCTCTACGAGCGGATTAACATCGTTCCGGGCTCCAACGCCTCACTTCTCGGGTTGCAGGTGTCGAGCGAAACGAATCTTTTCCACGCGAAGCTGCAGAACGGCGACGAATGCGACCTCCACGTCGTTCAGAAGCTCTTCCCAAAGGTGCGAATCCAGCTCGTGCTTGAGATCGCGCAGCCCGTCGACGTGTCGAAGACGATTCGCTATGAGGATATCGAGGAATTGCGCACCCCGCAGAAAATCAATAAGGGGAAGGTGAAGACCGTGATGAAGCGCGTGAAGAATGACAACGGCGAGTGGGAAGAGCGGGAGGAGCCCGTTAATGAACAGACGTTCTTGCAAAAGTACTGGCTATACATTGTTGTCTTTGTTGGGGTCTCTATCATGAAGAATTTGTCGGCGTAGGATCAAGGTGCGGCCTTTCGGGCGAGAGGGAGGGGGGTGCGTGTATTGTCATATTATAAAATGGACTAAATAGTGTGCAGAGGTGGATTAGGTTTAAAAGCATATACTAACTACATTTTACGGTGATAATTTGAACGCTGCTAACATCCTTTCGGTCAGGATATCATTTGATATCTCTTCCGGGCTGATTTTCTTTCTTGCTTTGAACTACAGCACCAAGCTTTTCACAGCCTCTATTTAACTTTTTTGTATTTTTTCCTGAATAGGGAAGCTAATGCTCATACAATAGAGGCAATCATGCATAGAGGGCTGTTTAGCTCCCAAGTAAAGCGAACCACCACCCCCAACACGAAGGAATGACTAGTGAAAAGATTTAAGTAGCTCCCTTTTCTTCCTCAGATCACTTGACCCCTTTCATTTGTGATACCAATGGAATAGCTTACAATAATCTTAGGCTTGATCGTCCCAAATACAATGCATAGCGACAAACTACTAAGAGGAACTAACCTCTTTTGGCATTTTATTCCTTTTATCTGCTGTTACTTCTCCCTTCAGTTTGATTGATGTCTGAACGTATTCCGAAGATCCTCTGACCTCCATGATGCTTGTCATGATAAGTGTGGTTGCTGGAAGAGCGAGATCGAAGCACCTATCGGTGGTTGTGCGTGTAATGTCATTCCTAAATGCATCCATACAAACATAAAACAACTGACGTGCGTCGAGGAAAAACTCAACTGAGTGTATCAACGCATGAATGTGGTGCGTCAACGTCTTTCTTTCGTTCTTTCTTCTTCCCATTACTTTGGGTTTGGTACCCACCTCAGACGGTTTTGCCGACCCATCAAGCAAAGGGGGAGGGTGGGGCATCCAATAATCATACTCAAAAAGTGAAATCTCACCCCCTATTTCGTCTTTCTCGCCAGCTCCAACCGAATCTTCCCTCCCAAGCGCGCCCGTCAGCCCGGCTTGATGGACGACGCGGCGGAGCTCGAAGCGGCCTGGCAGGCGATCCAACGCGTCCTGCGCGACGGCGACGTCG